ACCAAAGTCATCCATATTCCGTACCAAAGGAGAAGAAAACGTTATATATTGTCCAAACTTAAATTTGATGTGGGTAGCGTGCTCTGTCCCTTGACCTGCACAATCTAATACAATATCGAACGGTGCATGACGATGCAAAGCTTCGAGCTCTTCGGTATTTTTATAGTCGACTACGAAATCAGCACCTAGATTTCTTACAAGCTCGAACGCTTCTTTACTGCAAGTCGCGAATACAGTTGCCTTTTGAGACTTTAGTATTTGTATCGCCAGAGACCCAACACTACCAGAACCGCCTATCACTAAGATTCGTTTTCTTGCTCTTCCACCGGCACTGGATAGTGAATCACAAAAGCCCCCTATACGACCAGTAATGTAAAGACCCGACCATGCGGTAAGTCCGGCATAAAGAACAGATGCAACTTGTTCATTTGATAAGCTCTGAGGAGCAGGAGATATCTAAAAAAAAGGGTTTATTTAAATAATTAACAATATATATGCTTATATTTTACACAATAATCTGGTACAACAACGTATTGGGCGTGTGATCCATTTTTCTCCAATGGCACAACGCCCCATACTCGGTCGCCCAAAGATGCCTTCTTATTAACTGCCATTCCGCATTGTATAACTTCACCACAAAATTCACGTCCGAGAATTAAAGGAAATTCAATCGCATTGGAAATTTTACATCGTAGCTTATTGAGAATTTTCGACCCATATCCACCTTTTTTAATAACAAATCAAATTTGAAGAAATGCTACCTAGTTATATTTAATTTGGGAAATCTTTAGCTATTTGTACAACGATTTAGGGGTGGGGGCGGAGGGGGCCAGCTACCCAAAGACCGTCTAACGCCTTCCGTCCGACCCTACACATACAGCAGAGTTTACTACTGCGGTCCGTTCTACATCGCTATCGGGCGCAGAAGAGAAAAGCGATGGATTGCATTGTTTACATGCTTGACGACTCGAGCAGTGCACCTAGAGTTAGCTGAAAGTCTTTCCACATATGCGTTTCTCATATGTCTTCGAAATTTCGTTAATCGTCGTGGAGTGCCCATACGCATTCGAAGCGATAATGGCACTAACTTTGTTGGAGCACAGAGAGAGATGAAGGAGTCGGAGAGGATGTTCGATTTCCAAGCAATCGGTCGTGAGCTGTCGTAAGAATAAAATCGAATGGGTGTTCAACTGTCCCGCGGATCCAAGTAGTG